CCTTGCTGGCTGAGGAATTCTGGGAGTTGAAGTCCACACATCTTCAAGTGGCCAAGGTTGAGAAACACTAATCTAGATTCATCAAGTTTTGCCAACTTTCTGCCCTCCAGTTGTGTTGGGCTACAAATATCATAACTCCAGCCAGTGGAGATAGTATTTATAGTCCAATGGAGGGTAAAAATTTGGCAAAGGTTGCTCATAGGCAGATCTCTTGAAATTTCAGAAGAACGCCTTTCTCCACTCTACCTAGAAATGCCAGGTGAGGGGGAGGATCTATATAAAACATGGTGCTGTTCCATAGTCTCCGATCTTTTCTGGTGACTACATGATTGTTCTAAAACCCAACTAGTAACATTCTTTCCTGTGGCAACTCTATGATGATGGGCCTTCCGTGCCATGTTGAAGTGCCCAAACGAATGCCACTTTTCCCAAATTAATATCAGATAATTTAAAGCCTGCCCCTTTCATGATCCAAATGAATGCCTCTCCTTTCCCCTCTAGGCTTAAATCCATTACATACCTCAACTTCTCTACCGAGAGCCCAGAGAAGAAAATACTTACACATAGCTATGAGGTAATGGACTTGCTTTTTTTTGTTTGTTAATAACTAATGAACTAAATCCACATCTGTCTTGACAAAGTTAATTCCATCCATCTGCTCCGGTCTTCTTAAGCAGGCCTGCTGAGAGTCCATCCTGTTCATGAAGTCTGTGGGACTTGGATGAGGCAGAAGGCCTTCTTTGTGGTGGCCCTCATACTAAGAAACAGGCTTCAAACAAGCTGTGCCTTCCCTTCTCACATTTCAGAAGAGTGTTAAAACCTTCCTATTCTAGTCCATTTAGTTCCATTTGATTGGTCGTGGGCATCCGCCTGTATATTTATTTGCATATTTTTTAATATTGTATTGGGGGTTTTGTGATCTTACTTTTCCACTGTGTTTTTACTTTATTGTTTGCCACCCAGAATGATATGATTGGGGTGGCTAACATAGCTTACAAAATGAATAAATAAATCTGCATATACTCCTTTACTTAACCCATCCACCATTCCAGCTATCCATCTCTCTTTGCATACATATCTACAATAAACAATCTCTCCATGGTCTTTAAGATATGAGAGGTCTTTGTTCTGGTGGACAGAGAATTTCTCTCTCTATGGAAGAAAGTGATTTAAAAAAAATTTAATAGCTACATGAAGCTATCACTCAAGCATATTGAAATCTAACAGGAGTAACGTGGAAATCTATTCACTCTACTATTTTCTGTTACGAATGGTTTGTTCCCAACACTTTTTAATCCCTTGACATGTTCACTCTGCCAACATTTTCTTCCCTACCTGCTTCCATTTATTCCAAATTTATTCAATTTTTTTTTTTGTTCTGGCAGGTGAGAAATTTGGACTCAAACTCTACTGCAGTCAATGTGACTTTTGAGCTTCCTTTAAAGACAAAACAGGGGTTCTTCTGGAATGTAACCCCATCCTACAGTGATGTGGTAAGAAGATTGCTGAGGGAAGCTGGTTGATTAGAATTCCTGCAAGAGAGAATATTTGAATAATTTCTGTGGGGAGAGAGACTATAAAGTTGAGGAAAGACTTAGTATTATCATATTCTGGAAGTGTATTATATATACCAGTAGCAAACATATTCCCTGCATGTCTGTGCTTGTGTCATTAAAACAGCACTTGAAGGAGAGTGGTGTCATCTAGTTTGTGGAAGTCCAAGCTTGCAGAAATACTTTTGGGGGGCTTTGTCATGGGTAGGAAGTTCAGTCCGCACAGAATGCAGATTGGTTGTTGCGGGAGACACAGAAGACATACCTGGCTGAAATCATAAACATTAGTAACCACCACGCTTCTAATATCCAGAAAGAATCACGATGAATCTCCTGAGTTAGGGTTACTGTCAAAAAGGTAATGGGCTAATATATAGAATATTGGAAATGGAATAATTCAAAACTCTAGCACTCATTTTTTAGTGAATTCATTAAGGCAGAGTCTCTGAGAGTAATTTGAACCTCTTTTTCCCAGCATGCGAAAAGGAAGGGCTAATCATCCTTTTTCCTCATAAGACTGACCTTGAAATGTTCATTTGCTTGTTGACATTAATGCTTTGAGATATTCCTGTTTCTTTCAAAGCCCCAGAGATCTCTCTCAGAGCACCACTTAGTATGTTTTCTTGCAAGTTCCACTTTTGCAGAATTATTTTTTTTTCCCCTAGATAAATAACTTCTCATGCACACCGTTGTTCACTCTCAGAACGGGAATCCACAGGAAGAACAGCACGAAACCCATCACGGTAAGAACCTGGTATGCAGCTTCCTTGGGACTGGTACATTTCTATTTTTATGAGAAGATATCCCTCATCTGAAGCTGAGATGTCTTTTTGTCTGAGGTGGAGATAGCAAGTGGTCATACCAATTCTCTTTTCTTCTCCTCTTTTGACAGAGAGGCTGTCTGGGAGCTGTTGCTTGCCCCAAAATTCACTGCTTTATCAGTAGTCTTGCTAAGGGAGAATGGATCATGTTCAATTTTTCTGGAGATTTTTACAGAGAAGATGAATCTTTCAAAGTAAGTGGCACCTCTATCAGATAGTAGGGCTATTACATCGTCCTGTTTCGAAGGTACATTTCTACTGAATGCCTTGAGCAAAGAAAGCATTTTAAAGTATTTCCTATTCATGACCCCTGTAAGGAGAAAGCTTACAACAGCCATCACACCCATCCTAGATGTTTGAGTTGGGATTCATATGTGGAAAATGAGAAAAAAAAGCTCTCCTTTTTAGTAAGCTGAGTAGTGAGCTAAGCAAAAGGGAAGGAGGAGAGAAGCTGAGAACCAAATTATGTTAATCTCTTTCATTTGTTTATCAATTCTAAAGCTGAAGTCCGAAATAGTTCATCTTCGCAGCGAGGCATCCATAAGAGTGGATGAGACCAGATTTTTCCTGAATGAACGAGAGGATTTCCATTTCAGCCAGGTAATTAGCAGGGTGGGTTGACGAAAGAGAGATATGGGTCGAACAGTGGAAATAGAGGGGAAAAGTTGTATTAGTCTGTGCCACAAATGAGTCAAGGTATCTGGTAGTATCTTCAAGACTAACCAACTTTCTTAGGGCAAAGCCTTTCATGAACGTCAGATTCATAGAGTGGATTTGTTGTTATAGACTTTAAACGCAGGGAATGGAAGTGTGGTGAGGGCAATGGAGAAGAACCAGGTGGGAGGCTAAAGGGTTTCCACAATAGCTGATTTGGCTTCCTGCCATAGTGTGTGGTCTGTTGTGATGAGTGGATGTTTATTGAAAGGAACAGAAATGGCTGCTTATAAAAGCATGTGTCTGCTGACTTGGTTATATGGAAGCGAGAGTTGGGTTTGTCAGGAGAAACAGAATAATAAGCTGAACTTGGGGGAATGAAGATGTGTGAGTGTAAAGCAAGAGAAGAGAGAGCCAAGAATGAATGGGAACTGAATGGATGTGGATTGAATGTAAAAGCAAATGACTGGTACAAAAGAACATTGAGGTGGTTGGGTCATAGAGGGAGAATGAATGAGGACTGAAGCACAAAACAAATACATGAAGGAAGAATGAATGATTGAGAAGAAAAGGAAGAGTGAGGAGGTCATGGTTGACTGGAACTAATGAGATCCTCAGAAAGAAAGAGTTGAGAAGCTTAAAGAACACATTAAGTGGTGTAGGGACAGGGTACAAGCAAGGATAGGAAGGTACAGAGAGTTATAGTGAATGGTGTTGTATAAACTCGATTTATTCATGTTTCATTTTCTTTTTCTTATTTCATGCCTTTCAGTCCCTTGTCTACTGTTCCTCCTCCTTTTTTTGCACATTACATAATGACGCTTACCCCAAAGGGGAATAACATAATGAGTGTGCAGCAAAGGATAATTTCTCCTAGTCTCCTAGGCTATCTTTTGAGCAGTTTTGCAGTTGAATCTAGCAAGCCGTCTTCTGGGTAAACTGATTCCTGGTACTGGAACCGATGGTTGTGGGCAACAGGCTTCAGCTTCCTATTGCTCTCCTTTTCAGATCACCACAGAAATTGAGTTGATTTCGCCGTTCAATCCTGTTCCCATCATCATTGGCAGCATCATTGGAGGCATTGTGCTTTTAGCCATTCTAGTGGCTGTCTTGTATAAGGTTTGTGCTGGTTGGTTGTGCTGTCAATCAATTTGATGTGGGTGTTGCTAGGACCTTGGCTTATGGGACCTTATTCCCATCTCTCCGTTAAATCAATCCCAGAACCCTGATTGGTTTCAGCAAAGGCTCCTCCTCTACTTTATTGTCAAGTAGGGCTTGATTTTCAGCAGGAACATCAGCTAGAAATGAAGGGATATCCTTATATGTATACAGCATGTATGTACATATGCTGTATTCCCCGTATGCTGTAAGATAGAACAACATCATTATCCCCTTAAATATATTTGGCAATCCACATACTGCACCAGAAAATCTCACCCCCCTATAATATGGTCTGGCAGGAAGAACCATAATTGGATTTTTCACTTCAAGTTTGCTTAGATTTGCATACATTCATATATATTAGCACATCTAAATTGTATGCTCTGGGTCTTTTCAAGACTTAGGAAAGCTGTTGGGTAAAATAGATGCAATGAACAGATTTCCTGTTAAGTACTCTTCACAGCTACTTTTAGATTGTAGAAAAGAGATTGGAAGATCTTGTTAAGTTTATTTTAGTCCAGCTGAGAGGTGCATTGCAATTTCTCCCTCAACTTAAATCTGTTTCTCTCTCTTTCCTATACCCCCCCCCCCCCTACACTTTTTTTTTTTTTATTTTTCTTTT